TACAGTTGACTTTGACCCTTGAATTTCCTGTGTGCAGCGTTCGGTCACACAGCCATTCACGACAGACTCAGGCCTGGGCGTGTCTTGGTCACACAGCCCAGCGCAGACCATCTCAGGTCTGCGTGGCCTGGGGCTGAGTTCTGGGCCCCAGGCTACTTCTGAACAGGGTTATTACAGGGCGGTTACTTGATTGGTGACAAGGGTTGATGCGGCATATGCGGCCAGATGCACAGACAATTCTGTGCATAATAATAGTTGTTCGGGGTTTTCTGTTGTGCTGGTTGCAAGTGTGAAGTCTCACATGAGTGTTCTGCTGCACATGCATGATTGCTGTGTGAATTTGAGGGGAGGTACACTGCACCTACTCACAACACTAGTGAACACCACAGACTGTTGGTTCCCTCCACCTTCTGAGCCAGGGAGTTACTCGGACGGGCACCCATTATCGCCTGCAGGAAACTCAGACATCCCGAACTGAGCGCCCCCCCAAAGAGTGCTGCACACACTCCGAACGAGGACTGATCAACTATTTGGCACTTCTTAGTGGTGCTCAGCTGGACACCCAAAACAGAAAAATATGAGGAGGACAGACAACAAACAGAAAGAAAGACACACGAAAATCGAAGACATCCAGAAAACTGATTGTGTGCCACTGCTTTGTCCTGGTTAATGTTTTCTAAGCATGAACATAGCACCAGCGTGGCCTGGCCCTCAGATTCAGGGCTACCCTGTAGCAGGATCCAAACTGTTTGTGATGCAGATTGCTCAGTGTATGCCATTTCAGCTGCCTTCTGATTTGCTTGTTAAATTCTTGCCTGTCTGGCAGGTTATCATCATTCCATTTTTCATTGCTTCGTTCGCTCTTATGTTTGGAAACTGGAGCCAGCATATATTTATCGACCCAGCTCACCCTCGAAGCAACTACTTGCTTACGTGAGTTTTCTGGAAGCGGACCATCACTTGAAAACCTCAATCATTGGCAATTATCTTTGAAAAAGACATCTATTTGACATTTGTTGGTAAACAGATCATGAGTTCAAATCTGATGGGATTACATGAATACAATAATGAGAGTGGTACACATGTCAACTGTTAGTAAACAGATCATGAGTTTGAAATTTGAATTCTGAGGGAATCAGGTGAATACCTAGTCTACCAGAGTGGCCCGGGACCATGAGTTTGAAATTTGAATTCTGATGGAATCAGGTGAATACCTAGGCTACCAGAGTGGCCCGGGACCACTTGCCCGGCCGGGCAAAAAAAACAGTAAAGAAATAAAAAATAAAAATTATTATTTTTTGAATTTTTTTCTAACTTCAGTTTTATTCAAAATTTTGGTAACGAATTTCGATGTGACCCTGAGGCAAAAGTTGTTCAGCTTATTTTTCTGCATAACATAGTTTGTTTTCATAGTTTTTTTTTTTTTTTTTTTTTTTTTTTTTTTTTTTTTTTTTTTTTTGCTGGGGCCTTCTTTGGCCCTTGCACGGCCGGGCCACTCGGGCAAACAAGGTGACCCGGGCGGCCCGGCTGATAGCCTAGGTGAGTACAATAATGTTAGGAACCTTAGGGCCTACTCCCTTTTTCTTTTTGCTGTTCTTCCCTGAACCACAACGACTGATTGGCAATCTGATGGCCATTGGCCACAGCATTTTCTCCCAGTTACGAATGCACCTATGGGTTTTTATTTTTAGTATTTTTTACGATTTCAATTAATAAGATCTTGGGACATCATCCCAGCCAAAAGTTGCTTGGACAAGGTTTTTATTTACACCACACTCTCTCAGAGTTTTCTGAATTTGTTTTTTTGCATACTTGCGGCGCACCAGCACTGTGCGCTGCGCACTGTGCGCTGCACGCTGTGCGCGGACCCGACCGCACATCTGGGTGCGCAGTGCGCGGTGCGTTGCGCACATCTGGTGTGCTGCGTGCGTGTGCGCAATGTATATTTCCATGTTCTAGCGGTAGATTCATTTGATAGCACACTGTATATTTCCATGTTCTAGTGGTAGATTCATTCGATTTTGCTCATCCTATCGATGGAAGTACCAGGAGGCCAGCCGCGAGGTTGGAGACTTACCTGCTCTCTCTCTCTCTCTCTCTCTCTCTCTCTCTCTCTCTCTCTCTCTGCAGCACTCCACGGCCATCGTAACCTCGTCAGCCTACTGGTCGTCATCAACGTCCCTTCCAATATCTGCGTCGTCATCATCATCTGAGGAGTGTGGCGGCGCCATCAATAGGCACTCCTAACGCATCAACAACACGACCCAACATAGATCTTCCTACAGGAACATCTACAATAGATCCAGTACGTTTGACAATATCTCCTTCTTTAATGGCAGTATCACTACCAAAAACCACAATTCCTATATAGTAACCCCAAAGACTTGCCTAGAAGAATTCGAAGCACTTACTCGAGGAATTGGTCCCCGGGTCATGAAAAAGTGCTGGTCAAACTTGCTAGAATAGAGGCTCCCATGTCCCAAGACGAAAAACAGAAACTCTTTTTTCTAGTACATAATTAGTCGAGTACGAGATCCAATGTCTCTTCTTGCGTGGACTCACCGAACCCACGTATGTGGCAAAATACGGGGATGACTTGTGGCTAGGGGTAAATAAAGAAAGAGTAAGAATCAATCGTCCGAGTATTGATTCTTCAGCGTATTTTACGCTTCATGCCTTTTGCCCCATAGGCGCGTGAGCGCTTATAGAAAAACTGGCTCATAACGGTGGAACCGTTAGTTCCTTTTGGTTTCGGAAAAAATGGAATGGTAGCGGCTTCGCTCCTTTGTGGTCAAAAATCTCTAAACACACGCAGCAAGGCACGATTTCAAAGGCGCGAAGCACTGCAAAAAGGTCAAAGCACCCTACGAGGACGTAGCATGTACAATTTTTTGGAAAAACTTGTCACAGTGATSTCTTTTCATAACTACCCTGTCAAAATACACAAAAATTCTATTCATTTAACCATTAAAATGAATTTGTTACGCTTATTCCCAGGAATACAAAATCATTTCGCCACTGCCCTGCTCATCATCGTCGTCGTCCACCTGGACCTCGATGCGCCTTGTCCTGTCCGCAGCACCACGGGAACGAGTTCTCACTCCATGCATGGATATGGGCGTTGGTGACCCGCCCCTTACGGCACCGAGCGACCCCAACAGCCTCTCTATCGCTCCTGCGACACCCTGTCTCCCTCTACCCCTCCTCGATCGACTCCCTCGGGGGCGCCCGCACTATCTACCTTGCACTGCAGGTCTCTGTGGCTGCTCTCGCCCACGTGTGTCAGGGGTCTTCCTCTTCCTCCCTCTCGTCGTGATGTTGTTAACAATGCCAGACGACGCTCGAGTAGGGAGTGGAGGAACCACAGCTGAAATGACCGGTCCACTGTGCACGAGATCCGAATGATCACGAGCAACTGTGGCCACCGATGGAACACCTCGACTACCTACGAATGTTGTGCTGCTGTGCTCATGGATGACGACAACTGCCCAACAGGCGTCGAGGCAGTAGGAGACGATGTACGAGGGGGGAGAGTCAAGCCGGGTTCCCGAACCACAGCACAACTGTGTAAGACAGGCAGCGGAGGAGCGGTATAGAATGACACGGGCCGGAGTGCAGCGGAAGTCGTCCCAGCTCCGGGACTCCTCCAATCATCGTCGTCGTCGCCGTGTGTGGCTCCGTGCTCTCAAATGTACGAGGGGCCTCTAGCGATGTGGGAGCAACCTCCTCGACTCTCGTCCGTGACAGCTCCCTCCTGCTGTGTAATAGTCGTGTGTGTGGCTGTCTCCATCACACACGGGTGCCCAATGTGATGTCCAGCCACAACCTCCTCGATAGTAAGGGGCACCTCTGAATGGAAGGGCGCAAGGGTGGTATCATTTGTTTCCGTACACGCAGATGGGACATGGCGTGTTGGGGACGACAACGATGTGGGAACACCCTCTGTCTCTCGGGCTCTGCCGTCGAACCTGGTCTGCTCCTCGGAGATGACGGTAGCGGCCTCCAACTCCTCCGCAGTGGGAGCTGTCACCTGATCCTCGACAACGGGATGCGGCTGCTCTAAAACAGTGGCGTGTGTGTCACGCTCCTCGGTAACAGGAGCGCTCCTCTGCTCCTCAACAGCTAGACATGGCTGTTGTGCTACAGGTCCCGGGATAGGGGCGCCACAATGCTCCGCTCCTGCCCCAACAACAAATAGCATACCAAACGATGGAGTAGCTGGGGGGGCCACTACCACCTCCGCCGTGCGTGTCAATCCTACCATTGTGTTATCTTCGCTAGAGCCTGCCTCGCCGTCGAAGGTGGTCGCACGAAAGCCCGTATCCACACGATAGTCCTGCTGAACCCCTGCACTCCCCTCATCCGGTCTGCGACACTCTTGAATGTCCTTCATCATATGAAGGGTGGGTCTAGAGCCGTGCAGGTAGCCATCCAGGTCCTCCACAATGTCAAGGCCACCCCCACCTGTCCCACACACGAGAGACGAGAGGGTCATCACGCACTACCTCCTTCCCCTTCCTTGCTGCCGCAATCTCCTCGATCATGTCCTTCCCTTCCCAGACATCATCCGGCTCGTAAATAACGTCCTCGGCGTCCTCATCCTCGTAGTCCCTCCCCTGCAACAGTCGTGCACTAGCACGATCCCCCCCTTCCTTGTGCCGACTGCGCATCTTTGCCTCCACCTCCTCGGGTATCGTCATGCCATCGTCATACACCGCCTCAGAGGCAGCGCCGACCTGTAGCTCCTGCGGATCCTCCACCATATCCTCCCAAACATCCACGAACCCCCTCCAGGGACCCGACTGAACTCGCAGAAGCTGCATGTTCCAATGGATGAACACAAGCTTCCGAAGACTATCACTTGAGAGTTTATTGTGCCTCTTCGTGTGAATGAAGTCGAGCGAGGCCCAATTCCTCTCGCAAGGAGAGGCAGTAGACCACATAGCGAGCACCTTGGTGGCAACTTCCCGCAAGCACGGGAAGTTGCCACCATGCAAATACCCTCAATACGCGGGGTGCATCCTCCCCGTGTCCGCCTTCTCCTTGTCGTTCGTCCACCATTTTGGCCTGGGGCTCGCATGGGGATCATCGTGGTGGAACAAGTACAAAGCGTACCACAACTTCCCGTGCTCCTCTGACCCCGGCCTGTCGACAGTCAACCTGGACAAATGATCCAGCGTACTCTGCACAACCGTGCTGCTAGTGTCCGCCAACATAGACACATCTCGACGTCGCATGTCCACCAGGTATGCGAGTGCGTGCGCCGGCTGACGCATCATGCTGCAACGGTACTCCACCCTGTCCAAAATCTTTGTCTCCTCCTCCTCAGAAAGACAAGTGTCGCGAACTCGCTATCTGAACCTGTCCACAAAAACCCACAGGGTGGGGAGGGAAGAACCGTCTGTATCCATGTCACGCAACAGACTATACGCCGGCTTCATGTATGCGGTGCGCACTCTCCCAAAACAACTCGGACAGCACAAGCTGTCGAACGGGGCGCTCATCCTGGGCTGCCTTCCCCTTCCACGGGGTGGACCGCCATTTCACACTGCCCACAACAGCCCTCAATATACGCTCCTGATCAGTGAGGCGCTCCACCATCTGGTATGCTGACCCGAACCGTGTGTCACATGGTCGGATCAGCTCTAGCTGCCCTCGGCCCTTAAAGGAGCGATGATACGTGAGGGCCTTCTGAATGTTCTTGAAGAACATCACAACCTTGTGTGTGTTCTTCAAGATAGGGCGCACCCACTGGAAGCACGTGATGTCTCGAAGGAGGAGACTCAAGCAATGGGCCGCACAGGGGAGCCAAGGGATCCGAGAGATGGCGTTGTCCGGATGGTCCTGCAACCGCTGTGCAGCCACCTTATTGGCGTAAGCATTGTCAGTGCAATACGCATTAACAACGTCAATGCCAATATCCTGGATCACCTCCTCCCACAAATCCACCAGTGCCACACCAGTCTTGTCCCTCTCCGACATGTCGATGGTGGTGATCAAGACTGGCCCGTCCTCGCCTGCTGCAATGAAGTTGACGACGGGCTTGTACGACCTCGTTGTAGCCCCATCCGTCATCCTGGTACACCCTGTGAGCTTCCATTTCACCTTCTTCAGCGCAACTCTCTCCGCAATCTCGTGGTAGATCTCATCTAGGAGCCATGTGCGCATGTCATTGTATGAGGGCAGGACCAAAGCTGGCCCAATCGTCACCCTCATCAATGACACCATAAAGCCATGCAGCTCCTGCATGATCTCGAGGCGCATGAACGAGAAAGGCACCCCAGCCCTGAACAATGCTCTCGCCCACCACCTCTCGTACTGCTGCTGCAACCCTCCACTGGCCCAACTATCCAACCTTGTCTGCAGCATTCCGCGATCATGGGGCACAACGACGCCTGATGGGCCAGATGTGCCCTCCGTCCTCAGCCACATCATGTCCACCCTCAGCCTCGAACACTGTCGTAAAGTACTTTTCGATCGGTTCGGCCGTCGCCCCGCCTCGAGGACTCGTATCCTCTCTCGTAGCATAGTGAGCTCGTCCTCTGCGCACACACCACCAACCCGTCCCTCGTCCGTCATGGGGGGATCCGCCCCTCGGCCTCCCGACTCCTCTCCGTGGTCAGCAGCCCAGTCATCTGCCATGCGTGCAGCAGGGGCGACCGCCTCATTGACTCTCCGCAAGTCCTGACGTCCATGTGCCTCTCTGCCATAGCCCTCCCCACGGGGTCCGTGATGGAGACCCCGTCTCTCATTAACTTGTACAAAATCTCTCCTGTACGAAATGTGCAGTGCGCAGCCGGGCGGGTGAAGTGGTCCTCTGCCTTCGTCCGCGCCCCAACCCAGATGTGGTTGCACAACGTGCAACACAACTTGTACTGCCCCTTGCCTCGCACTCCCACCTCCTGCCCCTGACGCACCCATTCCCATACCGCATGCTTCCCTTGCAGCCAACGCTGTCGACTCTCATCGTCCTCCTGGAAGGGGGCGTCCCCGTCCGGGAGGCTGGTGAACCTCCCTTGTGATCCGGGTCGGGACATCACACAACCACACCTCTCCCTCTCTCTCTCTCTCTCTCTCTCTCTCTCTCTCTCTCTCTCTCTCTCTCTCTCTCTCTCTCTCTCT